CAGCAACCCTCTGGAACTTATTTACAGCAATGAGGATCCGGCTACATATCTGCACTACAATGGAACCAGAACAACTCCTGACTTACTCCTGGCTTCAAGCGATAACAGCGAGCATACACGGCGCAAAATAATTGACGATCCTGGTTCTGGTCACAAACCAGTCATTGGTAGTATTACCATCGGCAGCAAAAGCATGACATGGAAAGTGCCAACTAAACTATAATGGAACTTCAAGAAGGCTGACTGGCCTAGATTCACAAACCTTTTAGAGAATGAACTTCACACAAGTGCCCTCAACTTCACCCAACATCCTGAAAAACTTTGCAACGATATCACGAATATTATGATCAAGTGTGCAAAGAAAACTATCCCCCGAGGCAAGACTAAACCCTATCGAGTGTTTTGGTCTAAAAATCTTGAGGAACTGAAAATAAAGCCGGACGCTCTTCGCAACACTGCTGATCAGACTGGAAGAACGAAAGACATACAAGCCTGGAGAGGACAGTCAGCTGTTCTAAGGAATGCTATCTTACAAGCTAAACGAACTACCTTCGTCAACTTCATCCCAAACATAAACTAGCAAGATGGTAGTCAACGCACTTTCAAATTCTTGGGTAACCTCCAAAACAATAAGAAAAGACCCAAGAAAGAGCCAATAAGCTTGAACAACAAACTGCTCGTTACCGACTCCGAAATAGCTAACTACTTTGCGAAGTTTTATTCCCACAAGCAAAAGAAAAACCCTTTTGTCAGAAAATCTTCAGGAGATATAAAGTATCAAGAAAGACAGTTTGGTGAAATTAAGGAAGACACAACACCAAATAATGTACTTACTGAACCATTCAGACCTTGCAAACTTAATGCTGCGATAAAATGGCTAATGTGTAAAAAGTCTCCTGGTGAAGAGGGTATTCATCCGGAATTTCTAATTAGAATGAGACCAAAAGCCCCGGAATTTCTAATTAGAATGAGACCAAAAGCCAAGGAAACCATGCTGACTCTTTTCAACAAAATCTGGAAGACCTGTCCCGTACCTAACCAATGAAAAGCTGCCATAGTAATACCAGCACTAAAAAGGGCAATGACTCTAGCAACTTTGACAACTATAGGCCTATTTCCCTCATAAGTCCTCACAAGTGTGCTGGCTAAACTTATGGAAAGAATGGTTTAAGGAGGCAGACCTGGTCACCTGGTTCCTTGAGACCAGCAATATTCTTAGGAGTGAACCGGTTTAAGGCCACAAAGATCAACGAACCAACAAGTAGTTACTTTCTAGCCACAAAGATCAACGAACCAACAAGTAGCCAACTCTCCCAACACACCAAAGATGCCCTTGATGCAAGAACTATTTTTAGGTCACAATGATCAACGAACCAACAAGTAGCCACTTTCTCCCAACATTGATGCAAGAAATACCCTTACGGCTCAGTCAGCATATGACTTAGTATGGAAAGAGAAGCTAATTCTTCTTACGGCTGTTTTCGTCGACTTCAAATCAGCATATGACCGATAGAGAAGCTAATTCTAAAATTGGCAAAGATTGGTATTGTGATTTCAAATCAGCATATGACTTAGTATGGAAAGAGAAGTTAATTTGAAAATTGGCAAAGATTGGAATTAAGCATAACATGCTAAATTGGATAAACCAGCATATGACTTAGTATGGAAAGAGAAGCTAATTCTAAATGGCAAGATTGGTATTAAGCATAACATGCTAAACTGGATAAAAAATTGGAATTAAGCATAATATACTAAACTGGATAAAAGCATTCATTGTACAAAGATCACGTAAAGTCCGATATGGAGATACTCTATCAAAATCCAATCTTTTACAAACAGGCCTTCCACAGGGAGCTGTCACACTGCTGCACAGCCAATAATGTTGTATTGCTGTGAGCCAATCATTACAGCCACAGAGGTGACTCTCAAACCACTCGAGAAGGCACACAACCAAGCATTACGACTAATTACTGGAGGGATAAAATCAACACCCATTGATGCAATGCTCCTAGTTACAGGGAGCACCACAATATGTCCCCTTGTCAATGAGAAGGCCTTGATCCTGTATGAGAAGCTACTACGCATCTCCATGGATAAGTTCTTCAGCACATATGAGAATAGACCAAGACATCTGAAAACGCAATCTGGTCTAATACAGAAAGCCATAGAACTGAAGAAAGCATTACAAATCGATAACAAACCAAAAAGCCTCTCTCTCCCCATGAACCCATTAGCAGACACTGATGTAGTGTGTAGCACCCAACTGCTTGACTACTTCAGGAAGTCAAACACCATTCGTTTCACTTACATAAAAAAGCAAACGTTGGTTTAGATTTCTACTCTGAACTCTTTTCTTTCTACGCAGCAGTAGGACACAATAGATCCGCTTTTGAAGGAGAAATAGAGGCCATTAGGATAGCACTATGCCAATTATGTTGCCTGGATACGAAATTCACCAAAGCGGTGATACTTTCAGACTCACAATCAGCAATAAACTCAATCGGAAACAGAGAGCCTTTCAAAACAGCTGAGATAACGGAATGTAGAAAACTCTATGAGCTGCTGAGAGAGAAAAACAAAACAGCAGTCCTACAATGGATTCCTGAACACTGTGGCATTAAAGGCAATGAGCTTGCTGACACACTTGCTAAGAAGGGGACAACGATTTTGCAATGC